AAAACAGCTATTAGTTCAAACCTTCGAGCATATACTACTGGAGGTAGCATATCATTGCGAAAAGTGTGGCTGCGTGTGCGAGGGAGATAGCCATATATTTATAAAACCTATATTGAGTCTAATTATCCAAAAGTGTAACAAACAATAGGGTTCCGACATATATTCCCATTCGTGTTTGTCACGGCCCGCACTTATAAAGCGTCTGCGCAAAACAATCAAGGTGATTGGCTGATTTATGATTATCGATCGGTTTTTCGGGATATCTCATCTAACCTAACATTTCGATTTCGAAATTGGGATATTTCTAAGTGTTATATTTAAGCGTTTGTGATTATATACTAGTTTACTATCAATTAAGAATAGGGGTACATTTATTTTTCCATCGTCAGATGTTTATTCTGTTTGTAAAATCTGCGAAAGAATATTTCGTGAAAACATTCATGATATATTTGTAAAGAAAAATATAAAACAAATTCTTGTACTTAAAATTTTTGCGCAGGTGGGCCACTTATTTAATACAGAATATATGGATGATCACATAAAACCACAGTCAGAAATTGATAATCATAAAGTGCAGCTAATAAAATTGATAATATTGAATTAATATTAAAATTAGATTATTTCATGAAGCCAAAGTAAGTTCTGAAAAAAATGAGTATATTCGACATAGATACAGCAAATTAATTCATTTCAAACATCAGTAGATAGGAGATAAGGAGACTAATCGCGAGGTGTGAAAGTGTGAAGACGTTTGAACGAGCTCTGATAAATATTTGGTATTCTTCACAAGAAGTACTTTAAATTTAACCAATCTAAGTTATATAGTTGGTTGTAAGATCATTCAGTTACCAAATAGTTGTGAAAAAAGTGCTGAAATTAGTGTTTATATATTGAGGAATATATATTCCCTAACAATTTCCTAACTGGACAATTTCGCTATCAGTACAAAAAAACAAACACGAACATATATAAAAAGAGAATTGGTATTTACAGTTTGTTTTATCTGCCAGTGGTGTATCTCGCAATAAGGAAATTATAATTCTTAGTGGAATAAAATGCCAAATAACGTAATATGTGCTTGTTGTAATAGATCGTATGAGGCACATTTGATGATCATGTGCTGTATTTGTAAGAAATCTTTCAAAAATTCTTGTGTGGACATAAGTGCCAATGAGACTCGTGTTCTTAATAGCAATAAGGGATGTGAGTGGACATGTCGTCATTGCAGGGAATTTGGCAATGATATGAAAGATTTAAAAGCTCTTATATTAAAATTGCAAGAAGATATTCAAGATTTAAAAAAACAAAATTTGGAACGCAATACTTCTCTTGGTGAAGACGAATTTGAGGAAATTGTTCAGGAGGTTAATGAACGCAATAAGCGAAAAGGTAATTTAATTATATTTGGAATGAAGGAAAGCGATCAAGAACAACCTACCTCCAGGCGTTTTGATGATGACAAACGAGAAGTTATTAATTTGTTACAAATCCTTTCACCTGAACTAAATGTTGAAAACATTAAACCAATAAGATTGGGTCATTTTACTGTTAACAAAAATCGTCCAATTAAGATAAATTTAGAAACTGAACGTGAGGTATTGTCATTAATTCGTAGAGCACATGTACTGAAAAGTCATCGATCTTGCAAAGGTATTTCCATTTCTGTGGATCGCACCCCTCGTCAAATAGAACATTACAAGAGAGTAAAGGCACAGTTAATGGAAAGAAAAACTGCAGGAGAAGCTGATATTAAGATTAAGTATGTAAACGGCATGCCCAAAATTGTAAAGTTAAACTAGATCAGCCCAACAGTGTCACTGACTTACTATGCACCTATCAGAATGTTCGTGGACTCAACAGCAAAGTTCAGTGTTTTTTTTCATCTATAAGTGATTGTGAGTTTGACGTAATAGCACTAACGGAAACTTGGTTACGTGAAGATGTGCACAGTGGTGAACTATTTCCAGATGAATATTACGTATATAGGAAGGACCGTAAGCTTAAACTGTTAAATCTTACACGTGGTGGAGGTGTCCTATTGGCGTTGAAACATAGTATTAAATCGGAAGTACTCAACCTTCCTCAGCTGGATGAAAATTTTCCGTCTGTGGATATTCTTGCCTGCAAATGTTTTTTAAACGCAACTGTACTGTACATTGTAGTTTTATACGTACCACCAATAATGTCACCTATCGAATTTGAACTTTTTTGTGAATCTCTGATACAACTTGATTTTATGCATTCTGGGAATCTTATTATAATGGGTGACTTTAATGCACCTAACTTTGTAAACCTAGATACTACAGATAACAAAACTAACACAATTAAAAACTTTTTAGATTTTTTTAATTTACAGCAAGTTAACTTAATACTTAATTGTTCAAACAAGCTTCTTGATTTAGTAATATCAAATGTAAAATGTGAAGTGACTGCTGATGATGCTCCTCTTGTACCAATAGATCCTTATCATCCTGCTCTAATCATAAAAATTTCTGGTTTGTTAAAAAATAATTCGTACTTTATAACAAATATCAATCAAAAAACATATAATTTTAGAAGAGCAAATTTTACGTCNCCTTTTGAAGATAGTGATGGGAAGTATCAAAATATTTCTATAAAAACAGTTATACCTAAGCTTAACTTATGTTAAAAAATAATTAATGCATCAAACTTTTATAGCATAATTCTTCATCTTAAATTATTTGCAGTTTTATTATGTAGAAATAATCTAAATTAATACTAAGGGAACTTTATTTCAAACTCATGTAAAATGTTAAACTTATAAATAAGGTTATGAGTAAATTATGAGATGGTAACTGAATTTAATTAAATTGTGAAATTATACTACAAAAATTATTTTATGACCACGTAAGCAGAATGTTTTCAAAAATTATGAAATTAAATAACTGCCGCGGAAAAGTTGCGGTTCAGGCATGCGCAAAAGTTGCGGGGGACTTGAAGAAGCAGTTCAAACTTATATGTTTTTGCTCTCTCTGATTGTCACGATATTTACCTACTGTCTTTTATGCAAAGGCTCAATATAGGTTTTATAAATATATCTTCGATACACAAATTAGTCATTAGAAATGGATTACATTCAACTTGTGTTTATTTGTGTAACTCAATTTGGAATAATAAAATCAAACGGGTAATTTTCGAATGAAGTATGTTTTTTAAAATCTTGCTATATTTATAGAGTACGAAAAACTTTCAATACAAGAAGTAAAAAACACAGGAGCATATAAACAATAAAATTTATGACACTTTTAATACCATTTTTAATTTTAAATTTTCAATAATTTCAGTATATTTTTTAGAATATTTTTGGCTGCAATAACATCGTATCACAGTATAATATTACATTATCAAATTGTATTGTACTTTAATAAATGCAATCGCTTTAAACCCTTGTCTTATACGGAAGATTTCTATTCACAGTAGTATGCTATTTATGCCTGTAACTAAATCATATTTAAACTTTTCACGCAATTGATTCGCGTGGAAGTCATGATCACACTTTGTAGATAATCTAAAATACGTAAAAGTTCTTTGCAAAAAGAGCAGTGCATACTTTGTGCCATGAACTCTATGTCGATTAACTGCTGCTCTCGCGAAGGTTCTGCCACCACAATCGTCTCTTCAACAGCTTTTTTCCTGCTTTTGCTATTTTCTATTCTAATTCTGAAGCATTCCTACTTCCTTTTGGTAACAAATTGTACTTTCTACCGACTCTGTTCATCATCCGACATTTTAGAGGTTAAAGCAATCAGCTGTGCGAGTGATCACATATAATGTTGGTATACATGACAAGGACTGGCAACTTACAAATAATAAACACAGCATACTCGTGCGCTGTTGCCAAGTTTCTGGGGTATTGGGTAGTAATATGACATGTGGAATTTCACAGTGCTACGCTTTTTGGCGAGAAACCCCCTTAAGACACTTTTTCGTGGGCCCCCTTGTTTTTGGAATTAGAAAAATTTGGTGGCAAATTTTATTTTCTTTTTAAATTATTAGTTAGCTAGAAAGCCATTGAATTTAGAAATTTTTTTGTTTCTTGATATTTGTTTCGTAAAACGCAATGTTTTTTAGGGAAATGGCGAATCACGATATGCATTCGATCACATTTTGACATTTTTCTCGAAAACATTGCGTTTTACGAAAAAAGTATAAAGAGACAAAAAGTTTCTAAATTTAATGGCTTTCTAGTGGACTGATAATTTTTAAGAAATTTAAATATGCAACCAAATTTTTTTGACTTCAAAGACAAGGGGGCCTACGAAAAATTGTCCCCGCCAAAAAACGTAGCACCATCAGATTCCACATGTCATAAAACCCCTGTGTACCAAATTTAGTGATTCTCGTACAACAGGATTCTGAGATATAAAAAAAATTATTCTTAGGGGCGGACTTCAGGGGCGCTGTAACTCCGAAAGAGGGGGGCCACTTGGCAAAAAGAAAAAATACAGGTACCCTAAATTTGTCTTCAGAATGTATGACCAAATTTTTTTACATGAATTTCGGGACACACAGTATATAATTATAAGTATTTTAAACTCGATTTTATTCAATATCTGCAGGCAAGTAATTCAATCTACTTACCTTCTAGTCACAAAAAATTATTTTCTTTGCATTGAGAGCAATGATTATTTAACATGGTAAGTATAGAGTCCCACGCGTCCTTCCCGATGAAGCACCCTATCCTCTTTAATAATATTTTATTTCAAAAATGAACTTCCAACATTAAAGAAAATCCAAAATGCAATCGCAAAAGACGGGGACTAGACTTTTCCGAACACTACAACTTCATCAAGCCATTTCGAGTTTCCCCCCATATTTCTAAGGGTACGTCCGCATGCCTTATTTTTTCTTCTGAAAATCAGTGACGTCTTCACTTGAATGCGCACACACCTCAATTTAGCAAACCCACTACCGCACTCTGCCTATGCCGACGCTGACCTCAGATAATCAGTTTAACAAGAATTACTGACATCACTTTCGTTACACTGTACTAACTGAAACGGTTATTCGTCTGACGTCTGATTGGTAACTGATTAGTAGCTTGAAAGAAGCTTGGTGGTTAGCTGGAATTACCGAGGAATGAAAATATTTAAATTTGATCCAAACAAGTTGTATTAAACTAGTATTTCTACAAACACAACTCATTCAAGTCGCGGTTGGCTGTGATGATGTCTTTTAATGGGACAGTTGTACTAATCTTTTGTTTAATAATATTACAAACAGTGTATGCCCGTGAGTATTAACATTATTATTAGAAGTCTGAATAAAGATCAGTTTTGGATGTGTGTTATTAAAATAAATTTAAAATGTACGTCTAGCTGTCAAAACATAAAATTATATTTTAGAAATCGTTAGTTATACAACATAATATAAAAGGTTATTTTGATATCTGGTTACATGTCCTTACTCTTAAAATTTCAAGGCAAGATCTTGTAATAACATGGCTCTTTAAAACTGATATGCATTATTAGGTTTAAATACAGAGAGATATTTTGCAGTAGTAGGTAACATGTTTCTTGCAAATAAACTGTATGCAATACCCAAGAACATTTTCAACAAGATCTATGTTTAAAGATTACATCATGGCTGTCAGGATGCATCGAAAAGTCACAATATTTACATTAACAACGCATTGACCTCATGACCTTTAAAAGTTAATCATGATTAACTAATTCAGTATAATAGATCACAATTAAATAGTATAAAACACTATTTTTTTATTTCCTGGACAAAGTTAATACATTTTTACTTCGCAACATGCAAATTTTGTACATACTACTGCATAAAAAATATTTTTTTCTTTAGTACAGATACATTTACCTGGAGTTTATATTATTTTCGTTTTAAACTGGCTACTATTAAACTACAACTTCCTTTTTGCTGACACACATTAAAACTTTATCTAAAACGTTACGCAAAGATCGAAATTGAATTGTATTCATTTAAAAAATGCAGGAAAACTTTTTTAAAATCTAATTTCGAAATAGCCAATAGTCACAGAAATATGTTGCAGAATGAAAGAACGATGGTAATTTAGAGAAATTTTGCCATTACAAGATTGATAGATAGATTGATGGTTTTGAAAAAATGTGCAACTCATTTTTTTGTGATTATGACTTTTGATAGTGATACTTCAAAAGATTTAGAAAATATTTAAAAACATACATTGCTAACAGGTCGTTTTCAAGCTTCAATTTTTTTTCTTAAGAAATTCAAAACTTACTATAGTCTGTTTAGAAATGACAGAGAGTAATAAAAGCTTATTATGTATGCAAATCATAAATAAATGTAGTACTGGTGCTTATATTCAATATTTTTATATTACGTATTATCGGTATAGATGAGGTGTACTTTTAA